CATTCCTCATTAGAAAATGTTTTGTTTTGGTACATTTAAATATGTAAAAATGCCACAGACTTCTTCAGGATGTTGTTTTGGTTTTTTTTTAACCACCTGGCTTCTGCACAACACAACTGAAATCCCACTTATTAAACCTGACAGGGACACCTGTGAAGTGAAAACCATTTCAGGTGACTACCTCTCGAAGCTCATCAAGAAAATCCCAATAGTGTGCGAAGCAGTAAAGCAAAAGGTGGCTACTTTGAAGAACCTAGAATATAAGACATATTTTCAGTTGTTTCACACTATTTTTGTTCAGTATATAACTACACATGTGTTGTTTCATAGTTTGGATGCCTTCAGCATTAATCTACAGTTTTCATAGTCTTGAAAATAAAGAAAACTCTTTGAATGTGTAGGTGTGTCCAAACATTTGGTCTGTACTGTATTTCCGTATAATGACCCTTTTCTAAATCAGTCTGTTTTTAGTTTAGTTTGTAGACATAAATAAACTGATTTGAACTGATTGAAATGATCCTTGTTTTAGTCAGAATGGCTAGCAGGAAGCGTTACTGGGAGCATTGGGGCTGGAGAGGAAGTGCTTTCCAGTTAGCAGACCATCAGACAGTCAGTCAATGGAGGTCACAGAGGTTCCTGAGCAGTTTAGTAGGAGTCTTTGTGGATTTGGAGAAGTTCTGCAAACAGATGTTGTTTTTAATCTTCTCTGGAGAGAAAGAAATGTAAACTGAAAGAAGCTCATGTTTGGTGCATAATGATCAGGATGTGCAGAAACAAGTCAAGAGTCAAAGCAGGAGCCTAAATCATAAAGATATTAATCCACCTGCAGGGTAGCCTCTGGCAGCAGATTCCTGCTCTTTTTCACACCTGTACTAGTTTGTAACTTGTGAAATTTTTTCAGCTTCAACTGAAGCCATCTAGCTTGTGTTGAAGGTCTTTGCCCAAAATATCCAGATGGATTCATGGGTTGTATATAGTCGACAAGGATCGGGTCCATCATGACGGCGGCTGAAGACCCCAGCAGGCGCCGCCAGCAGCAGCAGCAACACGCAGCCCCACCTCATCTCTGGAGAAGAGTGGAGGTGGAGGAGGTCTAACTGTCAATCTGAGCTCTTTGTTGGCAGCAGCGCTTTGCATCAGTGCTTTCTTCAGGATGGTGAGTCTGTGAGGCGTAAAGATGAAGAATCCCTCGCTGACTGACGCTCGCTGTCTGAATATCAATTTAATATGTGCATATAAAGAAAACCCGCCTGTGCATACCCGCTGAAAAACAGAGTGACAGCAGAGAAAATAAACATTCTCCCGACACTGCAACCGTTTCTAAGCATCAGCCTGAATGCGAGGTCTACAGTTTCCACCTGGCGCAAAGGCAGCAGAGAAAATATCCGTCATGTAGATGATCTGTGGTGGTTTGGACATTTTAACTGAGATTAATTTGTAGAAAAATAGGAACATGTGTCTGCTTTGAGTTTGACTCACTGTATTTGCTGATGAGGGTCTGAACGATATCCTCTCGTCCATGGATGGAGGCCAGATGAAGAGCCGTGTAACCCTGGAAAGAGGGAAACACTAATTCTCACTCAAATATTGTCCTACCTGCATCAATAATAATAATAATAATAAAAATAATAAAATAAAACTGAGAAATATGAACATTAAACTATTTGATTTTCCTAAAGACTCCAGTTGTGTTCCATAAACTGGTCTAATAAAAATCTTTTCTCTTTCTATTTGGGATACAACATTTCATATTTGCAGCAGTAAAATCTGCACCTATATGTATAAAGCTTCCTGCACATAAATAGCTGCAGACTTTAATTAAAACTCTTATAGTAAAACAGCCAAACAAGGATTTCCGACTCAGTTCATGTTCAGCCGACGGCCTTAAACTGTAAGGAAGTGAACAGAAAACTGCCTCAGGAAAAATGATTCTCATATAAGTTTTATAACCAAACATTTCCATTCAGGGACAAATATGCTGCTTAACTTTTTCTTGCCGCAGTGGACTTTAGATGTTAACACCAATAAGTCTCACTGCTTCTAATGTGTAATAATAAAAATGATTCAGGGAGAAAAATGATGACACTAAAACAGAAGAAAATATAAAAAAAACATGGACAAAAAGAAAGTACCTCAAAATTGGAAGTGGAAACAAGAAAAATAGTCAACCACAGGAACAAAAGGAAATATATTTTATATATATATATATATATATATAAAACTTTCCTTTTTAGAAATGCCTACAATTGTTGATTTTGGATTTTTTTGAATAGACTATGTATGCCTTTGAATGTATTGATTTTAATGATTGTCTTTTAAACTTGTTTTAATTTTCCCTGTTTTTAAATGTAACACTTTTAGATTTGAAGTCAAATGTAAAGTACGTTACCAATAAAATTATTATATTGAAGAAAGCACAGATTTAATTTAAAGAAAATAACCTAAACAATAGTTACGCAATAAGAAAACACCAACAGTAAAAATACAAAATGATTAAAAATGGTGCCAAAGGAAATGAAAAAATTTGAATATAGCTAAAAATGGATGAACAAAACAACACAAGGGAAAACATGTTGAGAAGGTCACACAGAAAACTTTACATAAACTGTAAAAACAACCACCATGGTCAGAAAATGCAAGAATGAAGAAAAACCAGAGTAAATCTGCAGCCATGTTTAATGAGGGATACCTTCAGGTTGGGTACTTGAACCAATAATGTTTGGGTTTTTTGTTTTTACAGCATTAGTGGTTCATTGTTCTGACAGCAGGCTTTAAGGAAGGGAGGTATGAGAAAGAGGGGGAAACATGTGGGAAAGGACCAAAGACCGGATTTGAACCTGGGTCTGCCACGTCAAGGATCAAGGCCTCCGTACATTAGGGGTGTGCAAAATAATCGTCATGACGATGCATCGTGATTCTAATTTTCGTGATCTACTGCATCGATTCTTGACGCCAAGTATCGATTATTAATTTAAAAAAATGAATAAATAAAATTGCATGAATGGTTGGCGAACATCAGCCAAAAACAAGTGTAATACAAGTTCCAGTCCAGTAAATGTCTCTGCAAATGTGTTGACGCACGCTGCCTTGTGTCACACGCATTTCCAGCCGCAGGATACTGTGCTGTGTCATTCAAAAACAAAACATGGAGGAGAAAATATTGCAATGCATCGCAGTAATTCAAGTATCATGATGCATCGTGATAGAATCGCATCGTGGCCTGTGAATCGTGATTCGAATCGAATCGTGACTTCTTTGGCAATACCCACCCCTACCGTACATGGGTCGTGCGCACTAACCACTGCGCCACCTGCACGCCCCCACTAATGTTTTTTATTTGGTAAATTATCTCAGGTTTCATTTCACCTGGCAGTAGCCAGAATGATATGTGTAGAACTGAGTTGAGTTCTATGTTATCAATCTGGGATGGCTGCAGTTCAGTCTGTCCATGAAAAGCAGGTGTTCTTCAAACAGCAAACATGAATTGTCTATGCCATGCTACAATGTAGGATTCAGAAAAACATGCTGAAATGTCTGAAAGGTCGGACACAGGCGAGAGCGTATTGCGAGATGGAGACCAACAAGACCTCCCTCATCCTTGGCCCTATCTCAAAGAATTTTTTGAAATAGCAAAAAAAAATGAGCTTTCAATTCATAAAGTGGCATCTGGCTGTTTTTTTTAAGTATAATTTATAGTTTTATACTTTAAGTAGTTTTTGGAGCACATACTTTTTTACTTTTACTTGAGTAAAGAGGTCAAGTTGATACTTTTAGTTTTACCAGAGTATTTTTAAACTGCAGTATCTATACTTCTACTTAAGTAACAAATGTGGGTACTTTTGAAACCGCTGCAAAAGATTCAGAGCAGAGGGTTTAGTCTATACTGATTAAGAAAAGGCGACTCAGCAGTAAATGTATCCCAGTTTGGCTGAAAGATGAAGACTTTTCGCCATCAGACTCTTCCTGCTGTTTCATATCACTGAGAAACACTAAGGTTAAACCACAAAGCATCTCTGGATCAGAAGAATCGGATGTTTTCTCCTTTAAATTGGAGATTTTGTTTCTGGACATACAGCTGCCAGAAGGCCGACTGTTAACCACGGCTTTAAAGGAGCTGGACGTGAACGGAGGAAGGAGAGCGTGAAGACAGAAATATCTGACATTTTCCTCAAACACGGAGCTGCTTTCATGTCTTTAGAAGCTCTTTGAGGATAATATCAGCTCTAAAGGCCACTATAGTAGGGGGTCCAGGGAGAAGAGCTACATCAAGGCCGACTGTGATCCAAAGGGAGAAGCAATAGAAACATCAGTTGTGAACACAAACAGGCCTGATCTCTTCTACTGACATTAAACCTCCGATTTACTGCAAAACCATCTGGAAATCGGTTGGTTTTCTGACTCTGCAGAACAAAACAGGATGTGTACAGACGTAAATTGGAAGCCTGTCAATTTCCAAACGACAACAAAGACAAAATAAAGATTGTGTAAAAAAACTGATTTTACTGAAGGAAAACAACCAGATAAACCGCTAAGAGCTCAACAACGCTGATCCAACTCATTTCCTGAAATATTTCTCTGGTTCGAGTAAAATCACAATTTCTGTACAAATGGTTTTCATGTCTCATAGTGATTTAATACATTATAAAATGTTATTTAAAGTGTTTGTTCCGAGTGATTCGGGAAGAGAAAGCTTCAAGATGTAAAAATAAAGCTTTCTTTTACAGTACAAACTTTAATGTCCTCTCAGGAATAACAGCTGTGGCGCAAAGACTGCAATAAACTAACAATAAACTGCCAAATATTAAAACTTTACAACTAAGAAGACAGGTTTTCAAAAACCCGAACAATCAAATTAATGCTTGACACCAACATCCCGACAACATTAGACTTTCTAGGAGTTTAAAAAATAAAACACGTCAAATCATCAAGAAAAGAATCAACACTTTAAAATATGAGAATTAAAGTCAATTCTTTCCACCAAAAACATGGAAAGATTAGTAATAAAGTCCTTGGAAAATAGCAGACACCGACCAAAGTGCTTAATAAAAAGAAATAATAATTAAAATGAATAAAAATATTAACATTTAGAGCAAATAAACAATTGAAGAAATAAATAAACAGAGTAAATGTAGCAAAATAAACCTCATTCTGGTTCGAATGCCAACGAGAAAGGGTGGGGCTTAGGAGTAGATTTAAAAAAGCTGATTGAAAAGGAATTTTCCATTTTACAGTTTCAAAGCGTTCGTAGTTTAGGACCTGCAAAGGAACTTGGAATGCAGCCTTTATCATCCTGTTTAAAGGGGCTCATACACTGATAAAAATAATCTGTTCGATTTACTTAAAAAGTATAATGACTTTTTTTGCATAATTTTATTACATAGATCCAACAAGATTATTCTTTGTAGAAACTACTTATTTTCTCTGTTTGTTAAAATAAAATTTTCACATAAAGTTAACTTAATTTTAGCATTGCTCTAGTCATTTTTTTTTTGTGTTGGATCTACATACCTTTAAGAGTTCTAAATGTGCATTTTTGTCTGAATCAGACTTAATTTTTACATTTCCAAATTAAAATTTCAAGTTGGATCTACTTTGTTTAAAAACATTTAGTGTATTTTAAAGTTACATATACTCAAATTTTCTAATTAGCAACGGAGTATTTCTACTAAAAGTATACATACATAAAGTTCTTTTTTTTTTTCTTTTTTTTTACTACTTTTACTAATATTTACTAGTTCAACACTGGTACTTGTAAACAGAATGCCAGTAGTATGTGCTCATCAAATATGGATTTATAGTAATTACATTACATAAAGCTGACATTTTGGTCATTTGATAGTGAAAACTGACAAGTATAATAAAATATATACACCACACAGGTTGGGACATTTTGTACAATAGAAGATTGTGCTTCATGGTGATGGTAGAGGAAAGATCATTAAGTGAAAGTTGACAGGCTGTCTTTTCGACAGAATTATAGTCATAAAATTCGAGTTAATACATTTCAAGATGTGCATGCTGTGGCCAAGGGTTAACCGTAATATGACAAAACAATAAAATTACAATATATTCACATAGTGCAAAACATTTTACATGAATTATGTGTTTCTCACTTCTTTACAGTAACGTTTCCTTCAAATGCTCATTAAGAGACTCACAAACATAACTTAGACATAAGTTAAACCTTACTCTCTTAACATCGCTATAAGAAAATGCAGTAGTGCAACTAGAAAGTGAATTCAGAGAACCTGAGAAATTTAACTGCAAAACTTTAAGAGAGGGATCTAACTTAAACTCTGTAAAATCAACAACACCTGTAGCTCTTCTCTTTGAAATGCACAGGTATTGTTTGTTGTGAGTGTGTATGTCAAAAGATTGATTCAAAACCAGATTTATTATGTAAAGATTCTAATGTAACATTTTATTGTTAATATTACACATTTTAATTACATAACATTTACATTCACTCAGATTTATTTTTTTGGTGTAGACCTGTGTATCATCAGCATAAGGAAAAGAAGCTGTCTTATGCTTTCCAAAATGGTGCCAATTGGAAAGAGATGGGAAATAATAGAGGTATAATAATCAAGCCCTGTGGGAGCCCATACTACAACTTAATAGAGGAAGACCAGTTCAATAATTAATCAATTAAGATGTTTTAGTAAGATAGGTAGATGTAGGTATAGTGGATCATTTAAACCAGTTGGAGTGTCTCTATAGGGTTTAACAGATGGAAGAATTCATTATCAGAAAACAGGACGTGATGGATCCTGCAGGATTCTGCGATATTCAAAAGATGGCTGAGCAATGTCCCCAAATGTCAGCAGGTAGATTTGAGATGTTTTAATACTTAAACTAAGAGCTTAGGAGT